ATTATATACAATCGTCTCAGTAATACAGTTGGGGTGTCAATACACTGAAGAGCTTAAGTTTTGAATTCCAACATAAATCATGCCTATAATGAGAGGAATGTGACCAGGACTAATCTTTTAAGTGCTGTAAAGTAATTTTCTTTGTAATTTATGGTGTCTGTATCCTTTGGTAATCTTTTGTAACAGGATGTATCATGTAACTAGGGTCAGGCAGTGTTATTCAAACCACCTGTGTTGTAAGCTATTACATACATTCACTAGTAATGGCAATTAGTTTTGTCTGTATAGTGAAACAACATACAAGGACATATGTTGAAATAAACTTGAAAATTCAAAGAAATGATATTCAAGTACTGAAAAGCTTTCTTACTATCATATCTACAGTAATATTCAAATGCGGCTGCACTGGACTGAACAAGAGCGACCACCAACAGGCATGTTTACGGAAAATGTACGAAGGTCACGCTGCTAACCTCATGGTTTTTTCGACACAATAAAAAAAAAGTACAGCTGCAATGAAACATAAACTTGAAATATATATACATTTATGAAACAAAATTAAAAAATTTTTATGTATGTATATAAACATGAAATCCTAGTTAAAAATAAAAAATTATTTATTGTTTAGGTTTACTTGGAAATATTATTTTCAGGTCTTGTATATTACTTGAAATCATAAGGAGAGTACTTGATTATTAAAAAAATTAAAAATAGACAAAATTTGCATTTTATATGAAAGTTCTTATGAAGTTTCAAACAATTTCATCCACTAGTTTTATTGTTGGAACAAAATATAGCAAGACTTGCATTGGCTATGCAGAATATTAGTAGCCTGTGGTCATCTGGTTATGGTAAGAATTACTGGAAATTATATTGTCAGTATTAACTGTATTCACTCTATTCTGCTACAAAGAAATGGCTCCCAGTGACACAACTGTAAGCTTGAAGGCTTATAAAGCTAAAAGCCAGGTTTCAGTTTCAAACATCTGACATGTTGGATTAAATTTAACATAGAAATAATCATTATTATCCTTGGTTAGCATTTTCACCAGGATTAGCAAAGTTTCTTTTTTTTTTGCAAATGATAAGTAGGTAAACAACAAAATGTATATTCTTTTTTGTGACCTAACAGAAACACATGGATGATGGCAACCATCTTCCTCCTGGACAATCTGAGGAAGTTGTAGGTCATCCTGAGATATCGGAACTTGGTGGTGGTGGTGAAGATGGAACAACCTGCTTTGTCTGCTGTATGCGGTTTCCAACAGCACTAATGTGTCGCCAACATCAACATCACGTTCATATGAGATGGGTGAGCAAAGAGACACCAGACTATTCTGAAGAAGAGATGCCAGGTTAGTTTACTGTTAATAATCTAAAACTGTGTTCACTATACTTGCTGTTAATCCTTTTTAAGTTTCTAAGTTTGCAAAGAATATTGTTTTAATATATTATAGAAATAGGAACACTGTTGATAGAGGCAGGAAAATACAGTTTAACTCTCTCCCTAACTATAACATACTTAGGTAAAAAACAACTGCAGTGCTGTTGTGAATAAAGCAGCCAACAATAGTACAAGCAGTTATGTCTTCTCGAGTATGACGACTTGGCACTAATTTCAAAATAACCATTGTTTGATTATAGTGTAAAATGATTGCTTTATAACAACTATTAACATGTACATGTAACTTCTATTATTGTTAAAAATAGAAGGTTGGCGTGGCACATGTTGGGGATTGACAAAATTTATTTCTTGTTTCAACTGCATTCAGCCAAAGTACTTTAAAACATGTGTCAAAAGAGCAAGTAAACTACATTCTCGTCTAGGCTTACATGTACATGACTACCCCCTTATGCTTCAAGCTATACTTTGCCACATTTCGACATGTTTATAGCTTGTGCATCGCACAACACAAAACTGAGAGATTTCATTATTGCTTTCATTGTTTCTTTTGAAATAAAGGAATAAAAACTGAGATAATATAAAACTTTGAACTATAACATACTTGATAATAATAATTTCATTAAAATACATTGATAGTAAAGTTGAATTACATTTTGAATGTAACTCAGTGACATGTGCAGAAAGGAGTTTCAAAAGTGAGTCATTGTTAAAGGGTTAAGCAAATTATAATATTGGAAAATAATGAGTACTTAGTGGACTAACACAATAGTGGTAAAGATGGGATATCATATTTTATTCTTCTTAGTATTTACATATGTTAATGTTAATCTTATCAATGATACTCATCCTTCTTATTTTTAAATATCTTTTTATATTTAAATATAAAAACATCAAAAGCCAATTGTGTATTTTCCATTTTACTTAATAGGTGTAGCAGTTTGTTGGCTACAATCCTTACCAAAAATTAAAAGAGTTAAAAGTTCCAGTTCTTATACTGTGTTTGCTTCTAATGTTGAGTAGAAATTACAAGTTTAGAAAAGCTTATTTAATAAAAGCAACTGAATTAATTTTAAATCCCTGTTACGTTTACACAAAATAATGCTGAGTAATAGTTGTACAATATTAATACACTTAATGTTAGATACCTGGTATACAGACATGTGTGATGTTTTTAAAAAAAAACTGTACTTTTAATCTCAAGGCACTGACTTATTTTTATACTGTTCACATGTTGGGCCCACATAATGCATCACATTGAGTAAGGAGGGCTAGCCAGGTCAAAAGTCAGTATTAGAAGTAGTATCTATTTGGAATTCATTAAAAATTTTAGCACAATAATAAAGTGGTCATTTAATGTGTCCTTCATCATCACCCAGATCAAATTCATTGCATGCATTTTAGAACATGTAAGTAAAATGAAACCAAGCCAGCTACATGAAAACACTTTTTATCTAGTCCAAATTCACCTCTTATATCAGAATCACAGTACTATATCATTGTACTTCATTATGCTTATGTAGGTTTCTTGACCTTTAAGCTCTCATTTTTCTTCAATATTTACTGTTTAGTTGTTTTTATATGTAAATTCTGGCATTTTTGTTTTTTACTTTTTTTTTCAGAAATAGATTCCATTTCTTGTTTATTTTTTGAAAGAATTAATACTGTAAAAATATCTTTGTATGCAACAGTACTCTTTCTGGAGAGAATGTAAACATCTGTCATTTTGTTTCAGTTATCCACTTGACCTAACATTGATGTTGTAAGATACTTTTTTCTATGTATTCCAGTGAGATGCTACTTGAATACTATTGTTGATATTAACTTTTGTTCACTGGTCTTGCCAGTCCTTTCTTATGTTTTGTCTATTACAAAAATTGCTATAAAAAATTGGGTGAAATTATTTATTTTCTATGTAAACTATATAGGGGACCTTTGCAATAATTAATGAGATTAATTGCAATATTGATATTATTTTTGTTTACTTTTTTTTTGTATGTCTGACTCATGTTTTAATAGGGACCCTCTAGCCTATATAGTCGTTGACCAACAAGCAATTTGGTGTGTAAACAGTTTAAAAAAATGTGTTGATAATGTCAGTGAAATTTATATGAACCTCATCAATAATTTAACAAACATAATTTAACATTTTCTAGAACTTTGCAATGGAAACTATCAAGACAGTGAAATCTCAGAAAGTGAAATCTTTAAGAAAACTAGTGATTTTCAGCCAAATATTGTGCCTAGTGCATCTTCCACTGAACTGGGTGAAGAGCCTAACTTAGCTGATCAACAACAAGAGGCTAGCCATGCTGCTGTAGATAGTCAGGAAAACAATTTTCAGCAGTCATTGATGATCCCAGTTGATGATCAAACACCTGAGATTCTGAATGTACAGGCTGTGACCACTGATCAGCTTATGGATCAGCCATCTGTAAATCCTGAAACCTTCACTGATGAACAGTCTTTATTTACTGTAAACATTGTTGATCAACAGCCAATGAACAATAAAACCTTAACTGATGAACAGTCTGTTACTTCTAACAACATAACTGAGCAAAGGCTAGAAGATAGTGATAATATGACTGAACAATGCTCAACTCTCACTGAGAACACATGTGATAAACAGTCTATGGACACTCAGAATGTTAGCAATCAGGATTGTCTAAGTACACCTGGTGAACAGTTCAGTATCACCGTAGACAATGATGGTGCAGGAGATGCCACATTAAACCCGTGTGAAAAACCCAGAAATAGATTAATTACTATCCAAGACCTGCCTACTGATAAGGAACTAGCAGAGCTAGGCTTTCCAGCCAAGGTGGGCCATTACTGTCATCAGTGTGATGCTGTTATCAAAAGTTACCCTCTGTATTACATGCACATGCACAATGTACACAAGTTAGAAAAACGATTCCAGTGCATTATCAGTGAATGTAAACAGACATACCGTAGTCCAGCAGCCTTTCAACATCATGCTCTTCGCCACAACCAGAAGTCAGAAAGTTTCTGTAGCATGTGTGATATGGTGTTTGGAAGTGAAGAAGACCTTCAGGATCACATGTTTAGTCCAAAACATGCTACCAAGTATATTACAACACAGGTATGTCTAAAAGTAATCTTTATATATGTTTATGCCAGTGGTTAGTTTAACATAATTATCAGGTGATTTTTTTATAATCCAAGTGGAAATGCTATAAAAATTCACATTCTTGTAATTAAAAGTTAAAAATCTGCCGTATGATTTTTTTTTATTGTCCTGCATTGCCAATTTTACAATCTTAGTAAAATGTTAATTATTAAAATAATTGCTTTTGATGTTATAAAAAATTATCATAGATTACTTTCCTTATATGAATTTGCCATCATTCAGTGAAATGTCAAGACGGTTAGTTGAATGTGGATCATTGCCTTGTTGAAACAACTGTTTAGATTATTATTTATTTTGGAATAAGTTTATTCCTTTAGTGCCTTATTTTTTCAATTTTGTGACTTATATTGAAATAAAATGCACTTAATGTCATGCATAATTGATAAATATGTTTTGTTAGTCTATTAAACCAAATATTATAATACACAAGTAAGAAGATACACTTGTTTTTCCACACGTATATATGTATGTATATTTCAGTTGACCAATTTCTCAAACTAACGTATACAAGTGATAATAACTTAATTAATAAACTTAAGATGGGTTCAAGGGTCATTCACTTCTAATTTTGAATTGAATACAGTGATCTCTCTGTGAAAAATAAAAAAGACAAAAACTTAAAAATAAATCATTCCTTAAATATTCATAGTAATTATAACAACAGTTTTGTCATTTTGTTGAAAGATAGTTTCTTGGGAATTCTTTTCCATAAGAATGTTTTACAGTTCCTTTTTTGTTGAAGCTAGCATACACTTAAAAAATATTTACATGGTAGTTCACAAGACAAACAGGTTTAATTAGTATAAAACACCATGCTCAAACTAGAAAGAGAAACAAAATGTTACGTGTAAGTAGAATTTGAAGTATATGTGTCAATTTTCCCCCCTATTTAGGAAAAGTATAATCGATGTGAACCTCGAAACTACCGTTGCAAAGTTTGTCATAATTGGTTTGGACTTTTTGCAACTTTTGTGAAGCACATGGAAACTGAGAGTCATCAATACCAGTGTATGCACTGTGGACTGTTGTTTGTTCAACCTGGTCCACGTAGAAATCATATTCAGAGTTTTCATCCAGAGATGGCTAATGTTTGTGAGGTAGGCAACTTGTTTGCTTAAAGTTGAAAAAAATAATGCTGCAAATATGAATGTTTGGTTATGTTATTCAAAAATTCTGTATTTTTATTTAGTTATTTAATTTTTTCATGAAATAAGTACACAGTTGAATTTCTGGTATCAGAAAACATATAATGAATGAGAAAACTCTTAAGGACAAAATAGTGTGTACTTTTTTTTTTGCCATAAATTCAGTAAAACCCGTATGAAGAAATGTTAAATTAAGTGCAAAGCTATTAATTTCTAGTATTAAACTTACTTGTCGGTTTTAGCTACTTTGGGTTTTAATGGGAAAAGTACATTGTTATTAAAAATGTTACTTTACATAATATTATCCTTAAACTTAATAATAAATTGGCAAACAATGATTTATAAGCATAATGAACTGGTTTATTTTGGGGGGAACATACTACATGTTTTGGCAGAACATTCGTCTGTCTTCTTCAGGTATTCAAGTAAGAAGACAGACCAGTGTTCTCAAATTCAATGACGAGGAACCCACTTTGAGACTAATAATGCTTGAATGGGTAATGAAGAAAAACTTTAATATAAGTTTAACATAACAGCAAATGTACAACGTTTCGACAAGGTTTTGTCATCATCTGGCTTGGATGGGTAATGAAGAAAAACTTTAATATAAGTTTAACATATCAGCAAATGTACAACGTTTCGACAAGGTTTTGTCATCATCAGGTACCATGTTATACGTAAATTGGGAACTAAAATATTCACACTTTAAACAACATATTACTCGACTTTCTTTTATATAGATATGTGGCATCAAATTGTCTCATCCTCAAGCACTTTGGAGTCACTTGTCCTTACACAGTATAGTTCACGAGTGTCACAAGTGTCAACGACGTTTCCTCCAGAGGGAGCAGTTGGTAGCTCACATGGAAATACATGCGTAAGTTTCAAAAACATTTCCACATTGTATTGTTGCAGTTACATCAGTTGCTTACAGCTATTTTTTATCAGATTTATTACTGAAGTTTACTTTGATATATTTTTTTGTACTTGTTACCCATTTTATATGATTATAATTTTTTTTGTATTAGAGTTTCAAATATAAACAACTTTAGTAACATAATATTGGTAACAGCTAAAGATCTGATACACATTACAAAAAAGTTGGTATTTACATGATATCAAAAAAAACATAAAGTGTTAAACTTTTTAGATTATAAATGCAAAGAATCATAGTATTTCCTTCACTTAACAGCTAATTAAGACCGTTTTTGTTTGTAATTGTAACTCTTTCATGGCTTAGCTTAGTTTCATGTAGAATAATAACAGTAGTTTTGTTTGTAGACAATGAATAAGTAGTGGGTTTAATTAAAGAAAAAAACTTTCAGTCAGTTGATTATTTAAATTTAGCTCTTTAACATGAAGTGTGACAAATACTCCAATGTATTCGTCCAGGTTAAGTTGTTAGCACACAGCATCACCTACAAGAGTTGTAATATTTTCAAAATGAGACCCAAAACTCGAGAGCTTTTGAATAATTGACTATTCTTCTTTATTCTGCTGAAGAAGAATAGTCAATTATTCGAAAGCGCTTGAGTTTTGGGTCTCGTCTTGAAAATATCACAACTAATGTATTCATGTTAAACTATGAAATTTTTTTCACTTGATAAATGTTTTGTGTAATAATTTTTATTTTTGCCAAATCATCAAGGGAAAAGCAATTTATACTTAAAATAGATGTATTACCTATTCCCCCTTCCCCTTAAACCATAATCATTCTGAGTTACAAAGATCTTAGGATCTTTTATCATAAAAATTACATGTCAGTTAAAAAATATAATAATAACTAATGTAACTTGTTTTACTTGATGAAATTAGTCCCCCTGTTTCTTGTCCTTGGGAAGGATGCACTAGAAAGCTGTCATCTAAAGTCGGCCTGTACAATCACCTGAGAATGCATCGTGGAGAAGCTGATTTTAAATGTTCACATTGTGGTAAAGGTAAGCAAGTTTCTCACTGAATACTACACCTCGAACAACCCTGCTGTTGAAATAAGTGTCAAGACAAAATTTTTAACGTATCAACCATTTTGAGAATGTTAGCTCAGTGTATTGTATTCTTCTCTATAGCTTCTTGATCAGCACATCAGATTGGTGTGATGTTTTAAGGTGTGAGAAGTAAACTTGTTGGCAACATGATAACTACTACATCAGTCCTGATGTCTAGATAATCTGTATAGTAAATGTTGCCATCATTTCACTTTTGCTTTTATCATTTTTTATGATAGGTCATTTTGTTTTGATGTGTGACACAATTTGTCATACATGTAGTTATCTATTACATTTGCAAAGTTAGCACTGGTCTAAGGTAACTTTTGGATAAAATTTACACTGTTCTAAGTTTATGGAGAGTATGTGGTATGTTGTAATAAATCATTTTTTCTTTTTCTTGAAGATTCTATTCAAATCTTCTCTTGCAGAAACTTCTTTGATATCAGAAGGCCAGTGTTTGATTTTTAGGTTGTCTTAGCTACTGTTTTAAAAGGATGTTATGATATCAGAAGGCCAGTGTTTGATTTTTAGGTTGTCTTAGCTACTGTTTTAAAAGGATGTTATGATATCAGAAGGCCAGTGTTTGGTTTGAAGGTTCTTACCTTAGTGAACTCTTATAATGAGTGTTATGGTCTCATCAGACCAATTGCTGGTTTGAAGATTCTGTTCTACCTACTGTTTCAAAAAGTTTTATAATATAAGAAGTCCAACTGTTAATTTGAAGATTGTCTTATCTACTGTTTTAAAAGGTGTTATGATATCAGAAGACCAGTTGTTGGTTTGGAGATTTTACCATTTTGAGAATTCTAATGTAATTATTTTGGTGTATCGTGTTTATTGTCAGTTTAGTTATTGGGTATGATACGTATTTTCCATTATAGGTTTCTTCAAAAGAAGTATGTTGAAGAGTCACATGAAAATTCATCAACAGTCATCAAGAAACACCAGAATGATAATAAGTAAGTTAACTCTTAGCTAGTAGAGGAAGTAAAATTATCTGTTGTGAAGTAAATGAAATAAATTTTATACTATAGAATCAATAACGGGTAGGATTTATCATCATGGGCATCTCTCAAAGTAAATATGCAAAATTGTCAGTAAATTTTGTGTTTATGATAAATGTGAACATTTTCTGATATGTACATTATAAAAAAAAATGCTATTGTAAATAGAACTTGTATTTAACTAAGAATTTTGTGTCATGCATATTGTAGAGACTTAATCTGGAATTGATTTTCTTATGTACAAGTTTTACTGTCTGGTGCTTCTTTCAGGTAACAAAATCACTAATAGATAGTTTTTTTTAAAGATACATATCTAATAATTCTTAATTTAAATGATCTTTTATAAAAGCCATCTCCTAGTTGGCCACACACTTTCTGCTGGGCTAAACAAGAATTTTGTGTTTTAGATGCCTTTTGGCTCTGTATTTAAAGCTATAAAAGATTAAGATCGTACTTTACAAGTCTGAATACCATGATGATGAAAGCATTGGTGAACTTGTAAGCTGTATTTAACAATAGAAGGTCACTTTGAAGAATGCACAAATCTATTAGTAGCTTATTACTCCTTTTAAAAGTGGTCCCTCAGCAGTAAGTTTAGGAACTTGCAACACTTAAATTCAGGGTTCAATTTTCTATGGTGGACAGAGTGCAAATAGCATATTGTATATCTTTGTCCTGAAACAAACAATCTTTTAAACCTTTAAAATGCAAAATTATAACAAAAAAAATGTTTTCCCTATTTTACTGTGTAAAATACTAAAATTTTACAGTCATTAAGGTTCAGATTTTACTCTTGAAAGCCAATATCCAGATTATTAATGACAGAAAACTAACAGTAGCCAAATCAGTGAGGTCAGTAACCAAAAGTAGCTTATCACCTCGTGAAACTTATATCAGAAAAGATAATTCTTTATTTTAATAAACAAAAACTACAATACACAGTAAACATATTAATGGAAGCAAATCAACTGCATGTGCATAAGTGGAGGTCAAAATGCATATACCATGATCTTTTACAGAGTGCCATTCAACATTTTATTATGTATTTGAGGTTAGACTTATCAACTATTAATTTTACCCTACATTTGATTTAGCAACAGTTTAGGGAGTAGATAACAATAAAATATATAGGGATACTGAAAAAATGCTGTAGATGTGCATTTTTGAGATTCTAGAGGTTATGTAAATGCAATATTCAAACTGTACGATAGACAAATGAGTTTTTATTCATCACGTGAACATGACCTTGCACTTGAAATTTGAAAACTTCCAGATGAACAAAAGTATTTTTAACTCTTTACATACAGGGTCGGGCAATGTGACTGGCCTTGTAACCATCAGAGTTCCATGCTATAACTTTTAATATGATTTGTGTATCTTTACTACATTTGGCAAGCTTTTAGTAAACATTTACTCATGAATATATGGAGTCAGGATGTTGACTCCTCTGCGTGCAAAGGGATTTTAATGTTAAAAAATACTTCTCTATATCTGAAAATTTTCATAGTTAATTTTTGTAACCTCTAAAACCTCCTAAATAAATATTGTATGGTTTTTTCACTAAAACTTTATATTTTATCTGTTATTGTCTCTACCTTAACTGTGTATGAACTCAGTTGATTTAACCAACTGTGTAACCACCATAAACAAATAAGAAATAAATCTAAATTACCTTTTTTTTCTCTCTAGAGTGACTGCAAATTGCAACAGAAAACTAAAATTGTTTGTATTTAATTTTACTGTTTTATTGCCCTTTGAACCATGTGTAGCTAATAATCCTGCCATACAAGTTGTAAATCATTTGATAAATGCATAACTCCAATTACCGTATATTTCTATTTTAGTTACTTTTATAACCATAAATAAAGAATATACACAAGAAATTTAGTACTTACCTTTGACCTCTTGTTGTTTTGCTGTTGATTGCCAATGAAATTTAAGCCTACTTTTTTATGATTGTGCTAGTACACTAAATAATTTTGATCTCCTTTATTCTCTCAGCACAGGACCTCGTAACCATTTTGTGCTTGTTATACTTTTCATGCCATAACTTTTAAATTATTAATTGTATCATCACAAAATTTTGCAGATTATAAGTAAACATTACAAGGCTTTCGTACACAAAATATCAGATTTATTTTATAAATTTTTAAGATTTTTTAAGTAATGGTTTTCTCATGCCTTTTTTCTCTTCGAATGTTGACTATCCAACATGCAAAGTACTTTTGATTTTAAGATTAAAAGTGAGTTCGCAATGTGAACTTTGAAAAATTTCTGATGCATAAAATTTTTATAACCTCCTGATAACTATTAAACGTTTTTTAAGAAAAAACTTTATATTATATGTGTTATTTTCACTATTGTATCTCTGTATGGGTTTGGTTGATTTGACCGACCTCGTAACCACCATAAAATATTAGGAAATATAAATCATGCTTTTTTCGTTCTAGAATGACTACACAAAAACCCAAATGTTTATTCTAAATAGCTCAAATATATTATATATATATATTTATTATTTTTATTATATTGACATTTCAGCCAGGCCTGGCTAACATTACAGAAGTTGCAATGACGCGGCACATATGTACTTGTGTTACCATATCTAAGAATATAAAACTGGCCTTTACAAAGTGACCTGTCTTGGCTGTGTTCTAGTGGACCAACATTTTGTAAAATACAGTCACATTTTGGTTATAATATATATGTATATACATTATTACTATTTACAAATAAGTTCATAAATTTCAGTTATTTTTTTTCAAAACAAAGAACAGTAAATAACAAAATATAGCAATGAATTATCTCTTCTAGTTACGAACTTTGTACTCGCTTGCTGTAAGTTGCTAAGCCTAATCAAATTTCACACTTGGAGGTTGTGAAACGAAATACTTTTTTTTAGGTTTTATATATATATATACATTTTGAAATAACCAAAAATCATAAATTACTGTATGAATACCACAGAATTCCACTATAATTTATCAAAATTAGTAAGTAAGCTGTATTTGTGTCTAAAAAAGTATGAAATTTCGACCTCACTAATGTCTTACCTTATCACCTGGAACCTAGCATGAAAAGAAAGACTTTGCTGTGCAAGTAGTTCAGAGTGGCTGAGAAAGCCACTATGGGGAAATTTCGAGTTTCTGATTGGTTATACATACATCATTGGGCAAAGTAGGTGTACATGAGCAAGTATTTTCAAAAATTGTAGATGTGGCTTATGTCACCTTGGTTGATTCAATAAATATATTAATATTTCAGAAAATAGAAAAGATAGGAGGTTCTTACCTTATATTCTAGCTTGTCAATATCATTAATTTGAGTTTCTAATTTGTAAGAAACTATAGACTTTGTATTTGGACATCACGAACATCTAATTTGAACCAGTGCTACATTCAACATACCACATGACACACAAAAATCGATATGTAGGATTTTTTTTAATATTTACTTTTAAATTAAGAAATGAACTAACGTATAATACTAAAATTTGCATTATAATCTACAATTTAATACCAAACTTATTGACATACATTCATAAAATAGTACTTCAATAAAATTATGAATGCAAGTCAACAAACCCATGACCCATGTTGATAGGGTTAAATAATGCACCTAAGAACACAGAATAATAATATGCCTGAAATAATGTCCTATTACTATTATAATTTAACTGGCTTTTTAACTATAACAAGAAGGACTTAAATTAATTCTCTTTGCTGCTCGATCTAAACACCACGAGATAAACTTTAAATCTGAAGACAAAATTGATAATACTCTGTACTGAAAACAGTGTAGTATTACTTGTCACATGATGGATTAAAACTTTGCCTTTCTATTGTTGGTCATAAATGATACAGTAGAAAATGTCAGACAGGATTATCGGCAATTTGTGAGAGGATGTAATTGGTGGGCGTTGCAAGTGAGACTGGTGGAAGGCTATAAAAATTAGACTTTGCCTTAGTAATATGTATATTATAATGAGAAATTTACATTAAATTCCACACTTCAGAGAGGGGTGGTAAATAAATTAGAGATGGGGAGGAGGGAATACCTAAAGAACATATGTCACGATTCTCACACTAGGAAATGTTAAACATTTTTTAATTAAGAACTTAAATTTGTATAATCTTAAAATTTTATTTATTAACTACGGTTTGATGTCAAGTTTATTTGCATGCATTGATGATAAAGTAGTTTAAAAATTTTTGAATGTAACTCTGTAAAAGGACGTGACATGCAAAACTCTGAGCAGTCAACATTCTGATTCCATATAATCATGAACAAATCTTTAGTAAATATTATTAATTGAAAAATCTGATTTTTGTGTGTACAAAAGACTTTTTAATGTTTTTACTGAAACTTCCCTACTTTTGTGAAGATACACAAAATGTGTTAAAAGTTATAGTATGGAAACTCTGATGGTTGTTACTATGTGGTTAGAAGGTCAGTCACATTGACCGATCCTGTATGGAAAGAAGTAATGTTGATATATGAACAGTGATACCATGATACAGCTGTTCACTGTGTGAAGTTTGTTCCCAAATGCTCGATCTCCAATTTATTCATTTTATTGCTGTTTTATTTAGCTGCAATGGAAAATATTGTGCTTTTGCCAAAATAAAACATTGATCACAGTGGTAAATTATGAGTGTTTAATATGAACTGTAATTATTTGTTTTCAACCTGGGTTTGTTCTGTTTCTATGAGACAGTTGCGATTCAAGTAAAATAGAAAACTTTCAGTTGCGTGTATGTGGTGCATCAGGAATGTGAGAAGAATTTATTAAAAATAAAATGTAACTTATACATACATTTCATAGAGTGATGCAAAAGAATCATATTTAACTTCTCACCACTTTCTCTGACTCATTGTCAGTTGTAATTCCCAGAATTCATGGACTAAAAGTAAACTGTGGCAAACCTTCAGTATGATGCAACAAACAAATATTGTTTATTAATAAAAAATAAAGATCTAACTTTTTTTGGTATTCTAAAGCTCCCATGCCCACCAACCATCAAGAAATGTGGACAGAAGTCCAATTAGGTGACCTTCAAATTGACCAGGGTCAGCAGGAGCAAGCAGTCAGTGGAGTTGAGATGATTCAGTTGATTTGTGCCAGCTGTCTGAATGGCTTTGACTCTGAAGAAAACTTTACTAAGCACATTTGCACTGGACAACACAAGTAAGTTCTGTTTATAAACTTATACTAAGTCATCTTTTCCTGTAGAGAGTTTAAACATTAGAGGGATGAAACTTACTTGAACAGAATAGATTTGATTTGTGTGGAAAATTCTCATCTATATGTACATGTTGTGGTTTGAACTCTGTGTGGTAGCAGTAGTTTCAAGTGTGAAGTTTAGCAGTTTTTGTTTCTTTTAATCTGGATGTAACCCTCATTTTTTGTGTAAGTAGAGACATTGTAAGCAATAGTCATATATCTTCAGCAGTTTGACCCTCTCGGGACCTGTAAGCACTTTTCAAATGTTGAGTGCACACCTGCATTTCAGATTTAAAGTAAAAATAATAATTTATTTAATAATATTGCAAAAGTTTGTAATTAACATTACTGGTTAGTTTTTGTTATCTCTTAAGTACAGAGAGTTAAAAAACAGAATCATTTGTTTATTAAAAAAGTTAAATGGTCTGGTATAACCTTTAGCAATAATTTTTGTGTAATTAAAATTGCATGGATAGATTCACGCAATACTTTAGAACAGCATTTCTCATTTTTGATACCAGGTGCCTGATCAATGCCTCCATAAACTGTCGTGTATCACAAAATGCAAGTACAACAAAAAAAGGTTTAAAATATATATTTGAATATTCTGTCAGTTTTTGTGAAATCCCACAGAACAGCACTAGGCTGTGAACTGGTTGTTAAGAAGCTGCTTAAGAACACCTGATTAATACAAACTAATAAAAATTTATATATTTGGTTTTTGGTAACACCAAACAATAGGTTGTTGTTATACTTCTAATCTATTGATTCTTAAGTCACCCATTTCATTATTCTGTGAAATTTAAACAATTTTAGATAAATTATATTTTTTGGAACTTCCATTGCTAAAACACACTACTTGAATTTGCTTCTGACCAAAATCTGACATTCAGTTTGACAACAATACTAGGCAAGCATGATATAAGTAATGATTAACAAATCATCACACCATGAAATCTTAAACACTTTTAAACTCAAATGTAGTAGTACAGAATATGTTGATCCTTTTTTCTTTCTTTTTTTCAGATATTTAAATAACTTCCTTCAAAATAGATATTAAAAACCTAGAGAGAGCTAACCTGATTGTCTTTGTAGGAAACTTAGCAACCCTTTCTGGATTGGAGAGAGATGTCACAGACATCCCCCCGATTTGTTTTATCCTACTAACTTTGGAAATACATAACCAAATTTTATGAAACTTAGTAAAAAAACTTTCTAAATAGTATCTAATTTGTCTTGATTTAAAAAAAAATCATATAATTTGTTTAGTATTTCTATCATATTTTATGTTGTGAAATTTCCAAAATTTTGCTGTGTAACACCTGTTTTGAAAAAAACATCCAAAATACCTCATTCTAAAATATCAATTTTTTATTGCTGAACAAAAGTTTCTATTTTCTTATATAGATAGTCAATTTCAACTTGACTGATATCCATTAACAAAATTCTTTTGATATATTATTTTGCTGGTTACACCAGTCACCATTTCCACATAAAATCATAAAAAAATGTTAAAATGACAGAAATGTATGGGTGAACCTCACCTTTCAAAATCTAAGTCGGCAGAAATTCCTAGAAGTTGGTCCATATGTGAAACTGTTATTTTTTTATCAAGTCTAGTAGAGAAGGAAAATCAAGATATGAATGATTATTTTCTCAAGAGGTGATAATTTCTTAGCAAGTATAAACCCATAATTTGGAATGGGCAGAAAAAATTTTAAAAATCAGTGAGTTGTTTACGGAAAAGACTTGTTGGAGAAATGAAGGATGGAACGTTTTTTTCATTTGTCTTCACAAATTACATTAAATAAATGTTACAAAACATCAATTCTAAAATATATAAGAGAAGAAAATTGTTAAAATAGAATTAGAATGATTATTTTTATGTAAATTTTAAAGGTGATACGTAGGTGTACACTCGACACCTGAAAAAGTGCTCTCAGATGTGAATAGGGCTAAGTTTATGTAGCTTTATAAGTTTTAGCCAAATAAATGTTATGGAGTTTAACATTACTATGAACTTTGAGTATATAAATTAAATCTATAACACGTATTTTAAGGTAAATCCAACTATCTTTGTACTTTTTAAAATATTAAATGTATTGTGCCTGTTAATAAATATATTGAAGACAAAACAGAACTAGCTACACAGGCATGATAGAATAGAATGTATTTAATTTGGTAATATGTAGTTACCTGTCTGTGTGTGTAGTGTCAGTCTGATAGCAGAAAAGCAATTTAAATGTACAGTAACTTTATATAAAGGTTGAAAATGTCTAATGAACTTATGGCCAAAGTTTTTAAACTTGTGTAACTTATAATAAATAAACTTAGTATTCTGAAAATTGTTTAATTTTGAAGTTTTAAGTTCAA